CAGATCCAAAGTCTCCATGTTGGTCAAATCATCAGTGCGGCCAATCAAGTGAAACTGAACCTTCAACATGGTTGGGATCTTGATCGTCGTGTCAATGTTCGCTCCTCCATCGCGTTCCACAATACGAATGGTCTTGCGGAATTCCCGGATCTTCAAATCCCTCTTGACATTGGATTTCCTGCCCTGCTTCCTGACCTCAGCCTTCTTCACAGCTTTGATCACTTCGTTGACACACCTGGATTGAGTGGGATTCCCAACATCGGGACCAACAGCCCATGATGCATGGCGATTCGGATGGAAGTGGCTGATGGCCTTCTTGTATTGTTCAAGAGTGGTAGATCTCTTCTGGGTGGGGCGGTCATTGGGCCCTGGGTTGATCTTTCCATAGGCAAGGAAGTTGAGGAACTGGGCGACATCAGTAGGGGTAATTTCTAGGAGCTGGTCCTGAAGAACAAAAAAATGAAGACGACCATGGTGTGAGCGACAATGTTTGATCAGCGAAATGACAGATTTGGCGAACGAACGTACCTGTGTAAAGGTCCTCTTGCTATTGTACGGTGTCTGCCGGCCGTGCTTCCAAGACATAAACCTGGTGAGGGCCGGCCGGATTGTTGGTCCAGCGATTTCCTCTTCCTCGCCATGGTCGCAAGTAGATAGTGATGAGCGATGAGCAACAAAATAGAGAGTAACAAAATAGCGAGTTGAGAGTGATGCATAGCTTTCGCCTTTTCAACTGCATCCATCGAAATTTATGGAAGATTTGGAGAGGAATGATACTCGATCCAACGGCCAGCCAGCCAAATGCAGTCGTATGTACGTGATACGACAGTTGGATCGAGGGGATCTTTGGGCGTTTCCCCTCTCTCAGTACTAAGAGAGAGGTTCCGGATCGTTAAGTCTTCGAGTTTCGCGGAACCTTCGTGTGTGACTAGGTTGTATTTGACAGTTGGTACTTAGGCGAAATGTTGTATTTTGGGGTTGCCGATGCAACTACCAATGCGATTCTGAGTAGTATCGGATACCCTCAAATGCCTGGTTTTCCCCGGCAAAATACTCTCAATGTCCAATGCGTATCTCTATACCCCAATAATGATATTCTTACTTAGCACTGATTAGGGGGAATCGGTCGGTGCCGACGCTAGTAAGAGTACACCCCAAGTCCCACTAACGCATACAACTCCCCCAAGACTGATACCCTCTATCATGTGACTACGGTTGTATATTGGTAATACAGTACCAGTACCTTACACCCACTACCCACTACGGTTGCTACTAGCTAGCTAGGAAAACCATGCCACGTCTGTATTGAGAGATCTGAGTCAGTCTGCCACCGTGTGACTTGAAGCCAAGACTCCAAGCCAGCAGGGCATAATGTCTGCTGGAGTGACCAGTCTGGCCCGCCACCCTGTATGTGGCTGAAGGAGCCAGCAATCAACCCAAAGCAGCCCACTGTTTTGGTTTCCTGATTGCTGGATGCCACCAACATGCTTTTGGACCATGGAATTTTGCTTTTTGCCGTCCATGGTCCCTTTCTCTTATGGTGCCTTCTGCCTAGTGTCCTGCATAGTCAAGCGCTGGTGTAGGAGTTTCACCGGACCCTGTGTGTCTTCGACCACAGGTGATCCCGTCCTTCTTGGACCCATAGGCGCCGTTTGATCGCCTCCCCACTCCTCTTGTCGATTGCTCTTAAGAGCCGCAAGGACCGATCACGGTCGTAAGGAACATGCCCTTTGGGCTTTACTATTATTTAGTTATCCTAGCAGTAGCAGTTAGACGTGCCATCATGGCCGTCTTAGGCGTATTTCTCCTGTCTCCCGCCATGGTGGATGCTTTCTTGCCACCGTACCACGTGGTGACCCGTGGAGGTTCGCACCCCATAGTTACCGGTGGAGGTTCATACGCACCTCTCGCGTACGTCACGCGGAATTTTCGTCCACCTGGGGGGACCCCTGGATTTAATACGGAGACGCCCTCTAATCCCCAGTCGTGCATTCGTCGCCCAGAGGGCCGCGCGAGGCGACTCCCCTCGGCCCACCAATTTCTGGCGTAGATGGCCGTTTTGCATATTTGAACATCTAAGACAACACTAAGGGATATACGTTCTGGTTGCCTAGCCCCAACCTGTCGTCCGTCAACAGCATCCCCTTTACTGTTGCCGATACAGGGACGGTCCTAGTTTGCCGAGCGTCCGGATCAATATTTCGCTTCGGGATTTCCTGAGCCCCAAGGGCAGATTGAACTCACAAGTCGATTCCTTACTGAGTCCAAAACCCGCCCTTGCTTCCTGCCAACCATCGCTAGCCTTTGCCTGCCATGTCTGCTCGTCAGCTCTCTCTCCGTCGCGGAAAGAATGGACCCGTCCAAACGTTTTCTCGTGCCCGAGGAACCGATGAAACTACTTCGGCTCTCCTCCGTCGTACCCTCCAGCCTGGCATGAACAACCACCACCGCCAGCAGGTGCTTGGGATCCCAGCAATGCTTCCCAGTTTGCTTGCATCTGGAATGCCAAGGTTGGAATCCTCAACCGTCCCGTGATCATCACCCTTGACAATGGAGACCCCGTTGTTGTTGGGGATTTTACCGACACCATTGGTGAGCCCTTCGCTGTTTCCCTCCCGGTTGATGAGTTCTTTGGGTTTGTTACCACTCTTGTCCGTGCTGGTGATGCCGCGCATTTCCGCTTGGGAGTGCGCCCCACCTCCCCTGATACTGTAGCCGGACCGCCGGTTGCTCCTCCTGGTGGAGTCCCTCCTCCTAGGCGCAACCGGCAGGACCCTCCAGCCCCCGTGGAAGCTACCCTTGGGCTCCTCAACTTCCCTGGCCTCCCAGACGAACCTGGCGATGATGACCTACCAAGGATTGCAGCTTTGCCGTTGTTCCTCCCTCTTGAGCCTGGTTTCACGTTTGAACACCGCTCGGATCTCCAGAACAACCATTCGTACCGTGACACTTACCGCCTTTTCCATGTCTGGAGGGAAGGAATGCAGTACCTTCGCGCCATGAACGGGTGAATGTCCGTCACCACCGGTGGAACGTTGTTCCACCTCCCTGGACTGGAAACCGCTGCCGTTAACCCCATTGCCCAGCTGGCCGTACGGCCCCGGATCCTTGCTGCCCCTGTGCCTGTCCTTCCTGACAGCCCCCTCTATGGTCCATCTCGCACTAGGTTTGCTACCTGGTCCACCACTGCCTGGGTCGACATTGGATCTACTCTGGAGCCCCTGGCCGACGAGATTCCTCCTGCTGTTGGAGGTGGTCTAAGTGCCGACCAGATCAAGGCCGTTGTTGAACTTATCAAACGAGACAAGGCATTTGGTTCTGCTGAACGGACTGCTGCCCGTCTCCGAATCCTTCTTGCGGGATTGCCCATTGGTGACACTGATGACACTGCCGCCATGGTGCTCCCGGATCTCCGGGACGAGTTCAGTGCTTACTTATCTATGGGGTCCAGTTCCACTGCCGGTGATGACCTACGAGAGTTGGTCAAAGCCCGGTTGGTCCTGTCCAATGCAAGTGACCGAGCGGTAGACTCCAGCGTCACTTTCCGCCCGGAGAATATCACGTTGGCGTTCAGTGACAGGATCAGGACTTTCTCTTGGTTGTCCGTCCGGCTCCTGTCCGCTTCATTTATAACAGCCCAATCGAACCTATGCCTTATCCATTTCTTGACCCCCGAACGCGACCCACTGTCTGTCTTTGCTGACGGTGACCACCAAGCCCAGACGATCCTCATGGCCAACTCGACCAACAGCACTGCGCAGATTGAAGCCACAAAGAACAGTCAGCTGTACTCCGGGGGTGCTCTGCAGCACTTCCGTCATGTGTACGAAGCATTCTGCAATCTCCGGCTCCTTTTTGCAGTCA